CTGCCAAATCGAAAATCAAAAATATTTTCATATGCTTCGAATTGTTCAGATCTATTTTGAAGTGAAAAAATAGCCTTGTCTATTATCTATAAAAGTTAATCAACTCTAAAGGACTCTTCGAAAGATTTTGAGATTTCATTATCAACATTCGCATCAAATTGTTACTTCTTATATATCACACGTTTCTTACGAAATTCGGGTTCGATATTCATTTCAAGTGCAAGTTCCTTGGTAGAAATCATAGCAGTTGCAAATCCTTTTTCTCTATATTTGTTAAAGAAGGAAATTAAATTTTTTTACTTTACATAACTCTTTTTTAAAACTTATACATAGTCTATTAGGTGTAAAAAAAAATGGGGCCCCCACAAATATTGGGCCCTAAAGCGGTTGCTTTATTTGCCTTATGCCAGGGCCACCCCTCTATTTAATTAGAACACAAGATAGACATATATGGGAATTGAACCTTCACCCTGTAAGGTGCACCAAATACTTATTTGCACAATAAGACTCTTTGAGCTTGATACACATACATATATTTTTAAGTAATTTTAAAAAAATAAAACATTATCATACGTGGTCTAGAAAGAGAAGCATGAGTTCATCACGTGAATCCACACCCCGTACATTGGATACGCCCCTGTACATGGAAGGCAGAGAGCTCACTAAGTGAGTGTTGAGCTCGTTTACGGGTTAAAATTAAAGTTTTGACCTCATGAATTTTGTAGATAATTGTCTTATAAGGCATCTGAAAAACACAACCAAATTTACAATAACAGAAAGTCAAAAAACGAGAATGCATGACATATATAACTTGAGCAACACTATCTAATTATGAACTAGTTGAAAAGATCAGTGGAGCTTTTGGCAATATTCCTACATGCATAAAAGAAGAAGACTTCAACATCAGGAGTAGAAAAAACTGCATCATTTGTTAATCTTCTTGGTAAACATGACTTGGCCGTTGCAGCTACCTTTCTCTTCTTCGGAGCCGGCGGACACGTCGAAATCTCCGGTATCCGATATCTCTTCCCTTTAGGCGTTGCGCAAGAATATTCATGCACCAAGTTTTGCTTTACTTCCTTCATATTAAGGCGGGCAACTTTATGTGATCAGACGTCAGAATACTAGGGTTTTGGAAATATTCTGAAATTTTTTGAGGTGACTACACTGAACAGAAATCTCACTTAGACGAAACTTATATTCTTCTTCATGTTGTCACTTTTTATCCAAGAAAATAGTAGTTAAAAAATGGAAGTGCGTTTTTGCTAATGTAAGCTGCAAAATACAACAAAAACTAGATTCTAAGTTAGTTGTTAGACTATTGGATAGTTGGAATTATCCCGCTTCTTTTTTGATAATTGAACTAAGTACAATTACTATAAAACAAAATAGCAACTGCTACAATGAAATTGGCGTGGCATTTTTCTAGTTTGCTTACCAATCATGATAAGAACAATTGCCTTTTTGGATTGAGAGTGATTAGAAAAAATAAATTTGATACAAAAAATATGTAAATAATAATATCTCATAATAAATAAATGAGAATGCAATCTCACTTGTTGACTCAGTGTATAATTTATTCGTTTTGTTATTTACCTAAACCTCCGGTGAAGTGGGCTTGCAAACATAGGGTTAAATGCTCATAGTATATCTACAGATATCTGGTAGTATTATTTTTCCATTTTAAATATTTCGAATCTCAATTTATTGTGAAGAGCGCTTTAGAAGAAGACAAAATCTATGTATTTGAATGTTTTTAAAAAAAAAATATTCATATATATATATATATATATAGGTACAGTCATCAGTGAAAGATAGTAAAGAAAAAAGAAAATAATTATTGTTCGCATGATTTGCCAGTATCCAGTTGCAGTTTTTCAGGAAAAATATTTTTGCACATACTTTGCAGGAAAGTATGAAAAAACAAGTGAAAATTTTACATAAGAACAATATTTGGGCTCCCTACTTTTCAATTATAGCCCATATTTCAATTTACAATCAACTAGCCTAAAATAATAGGCTAAGATTCAACATCTAACTCCAATAGGTTCTCAAAATTACTATTTAATTTTTAAAAAAGATTGCTCAAGCTTTTAAGTTAATTTTCGAATCAGTAACTGTGACTCAAATATTAGTTCAACAAACCAAATCCATTTGGGTGGTGAAAATTAAATTTTTAACAAGCTTAATTATGTGGGTTTAAATTCTGGATTTGATTTTGTGAGAAATTTGGAGTGGGTATTATTTAGACTTGTTAGAAATAGTATAAGGAGGTTGTATATAAAATTTGAAGTCATTTAATGGAGATTTGGACTGGTTTTGAACAAGAATTGCAACTGAAAATCGTGGAAGAAGTTCGTCTACGGACGCTTGTATAAAGGTGTATAAAAGTGTATAATAGTCTATATTATGTGTTTATACACTCATATACACTATTATACAAGATTATACATAATTATACAAAAGATTGATTTCGTCTTCTTCCTTGCGTCTTTTCTGAAATTTAACTCAAATCTTGCTCAAATCTACTCCAAATCACTTCAAATTTAAATTTTGAACTCCTTTTGATATTTTCAATCAATTGGAACAACCGCCAATCCAAACAACTAACAAACTCAAAAAGCCCTATTTTCGAAACTAAAGTTTTGAATGGCCTTCATTGGTGGACTTCTACACTTCAATTTTTTTACATTGCAACCAGGTGACATAGGGGGAGAAGCAGTAATGGTGGACGGTCCCTTGAAGCATATGTAAAAGATGTGACAAGAATAGAGAGTGAAAGCAATGGTTGTGAGAACACAAATTTAACTACATAGCTTTTAGAAGCAATGGTTGTAAGAACACATATTTTGAATTTGCAAGAGCTACTGTTTTCAATATACGTACAATATGGGCTAGGTCGGGTAAAACTTAAAAACATGGACCATTTTTTATTATGGTGTGAAGTCATGTGTATTTTCTTATAATTCTTTCAAAAACGAATTTGGGTAGCGTTGTTAGTGAACATGAAAGATGAAACTAACACTATGTTTGGATCATTGTTCCCCATCGTTTTATAATGTATTGTATTGTATTGTATCGTATTGTATCATATCGTTTTATGAATACAATGTTTGGATAGATTGTATTGTTTGTTATTATTAAATAATATTTTGCTGTTTGGTTTGACTGTATCGTACTGTACTGTAACTGATAAGTTTACTAACATACCCTCAACTGTACTGTACTGTATTGTATTGTATTGTATCGTATTGTATCATATCGTTTTATGAATATAATGTTTGGATAGATTGTATTGTTTGTTATTATTAAATAATATTTTGATGTTTGGTTTGACTGTATCGTACTGTACTGTAACTGATAAGTTTACTAACATACCCTCAATTGTTTAAATATTAAATTTATCAAAGTTATGCATAAAAATAATTTTAAAAAACAAAACAGAAGAAGGCAAAACACCTTAAGAAAGCAGAACAAAGGAGCGAGACAGAAGAAGGCAAAACAAAGGAGCACAGCTAATTAGAATTGAGTTAAAAGCAAATTAGGAGAAAAAATAAAACAGAAGGCGGCAAAACACCTTTTAATGTTGGCAGCAGAAGTTCTGAAAAAAAACAAAGTAGGCTATAGGTTGGAGAATTAAAGTTAAAATAGCAAAAAAAGCAAAAGGTTAAATAGAATTGTGAGTAATAAGTTAGAGCATAATTGAAAAGAAAAATAGGAAACAATCCCCACCACACCAAATCGGTTGTTTCAAAAAAGGGATTTTATTGTTCCAGAACAATGGATTTAACCATACAATACAACCAATTTTAATGAAACAATCAAAACAAACACTGTTTTGAGTTAACAATACAATACGATACAATGGAGAACAACCATCCAAACAAGCTGTAAAGCAATATGAACTTATTGTATTGCGGTTAAATCGTGATCCCTTAATTATTGATTTTTTTAAATAAAAAAAATATATTTTCGGTAACGCTTACTGTTGCAGAGTATTCGGTGAAAGAGCTAAATATATCTTAAAACATAGAACTATAGCAAGTTAGCAACAGTAGAATAAATGGAGTTCCGACCAAGCTTGTTACATATCTGGCCAAAAGAATAAATTCCTTAAAAGTGCGAGTCCGAATAGAAAAATAGAAAAAGTTGATATGGTTTGAATAAAATTTAGATCTGTAATTGTTGCTAAATTCCATTTACCTTAACTTTATAGAGTATTGTTTTGGCTATTATCTTAACAACTTTCATTAACATGTGCATGCCCCCTTAGCCTTGTCTTTGATGGGTGCCAGCAAGCCGCGGATGGTAATTAATTCTCCGACCAATTAAGGTGAATCCGAGGTTGTAGATGAAAGTAAGCAACAACTGTAAGATTCCACTTAAGCTTGAAAGAGAGAATATTCTTACTGATAAATGAAAGAGCAGCCTTAAGGATAAATTTGCCACAAGCATTTTCCCAGGTAGCAGAGTTCCATAATACGTTAGAGACGGGGACGGAGCTATAGTGTCAGCTACTGAATTCGACTGAACCAGTAAATATGATTCAAATCGCGTATTTGTCTCAAAAAATTATTTCAATATATACAAATTATTAATTTAGAATCTAGCAACTTAAAAAAGAATAAAATTTCTTTCTCACCACCTAATGATGATCAAATCACGATCATGGTGTTTGCGAAGGCTTGTGAGTGCATTAAGTAAATTAAACAGATACTAGCTGGTCTGAACTGTGCAGGATCGAGCCCTGGCCCATTTTTCTATGGTCGGGCCAGTGTAGCTACGGTAGGTGGCGCTCGCCTTATGGTTCTCAGTCCTCTTTCGCCGAGATGCCCTTTAAAAAGATTTTTTCCCGCATCGGAACATCCCGGTTCTAATTCCATATGCAGAATAGAACACATAAGCTTCAAATCTCAGATACCTGGAGGTCACTCACAGATCATCTACCCTCACAAACAGAAAACACAAGTCTTTCTCCAAAGTCTTCTTACAAGGCAGGATTCAACCACTGAAGATACCTACACTTGACTTGCATTATTTGCAATGTACAATCTCTTTTACATCAGATAAAGATTGTTGAACCGCCAAATTGAAAATAGAAAGTGAACCTGACAGCAATCAATTATGAACAATGATACCTCTGCATTTCAGGAGCACTCTAGGCCTATGATGTTTCAACAGTACAAAAGCCATTTCCAAGCATTACCAGTCTGTTTTACTCAAAATAGTTGAGGAGAAAATGAATAGAACATATTTACCAAGACAGGAAGAAAAAAACACCCTGACAAGACCAAATAGCCAAATACATGCCATCAATTTACAGTCTGTTTCGCTGATGCTGCTTCAGCGAAATACAGATAGTGCATCCACCTCCTGAGATCTGTTGACCAACAAAAGGTACATTCTACTCAACTTAGAGCAAGCCAGCTTTCTTCAGAGCATTCTCAAAATCCTCCTCACTTTTCCATGAGGCGATCTGCATAACGAACATGAAACAACCAACCTGAGTTTAATGTTTTGCCCATGGCCAAGGACATGGGGAATTATACCAAAACTGAAAAATAATTCAAGCAGTTAAAGCTCAACTATGTTGGCATTCTACTATAGAGAAAAATTATCTCTGAAGTTTACCATGCCATATCTCATAAGCAAGTATATATTTTCTCAAGCAGCACTCAAGATGCCATAAGAAAGTTGTTGTGACACAATGGGTCATACAAGTCATGACAAGCCATGGTCATTGTAAAGACGTAACCCAGCTGTATTGAATTATCCTAAAATCCAAATTCATGGAATCAAAACCTAAATTGCCAAATATTCAGGAAGGGCAAATTTGGAATGGCATCTCTCTAGTATAAAATAGTGATTGACCACTATTTTGACCAGAGTTTATAATCTACTGTCTTTTACATAATATGCAGATCACAGCAATGTATATCATACAAAACAATTCTACTTAAACAAAAAATGGGGAAACCCCCCCCCCCCCCCCCCCACCAAATAGAGCAACTCTTGAACACCTTATCAAATTAAGAAAAATACTCTATACCCTTTTTCCCTGGAAGATGTTTCTTTTCCCTTTTTTTTTAATGAGAAAGTGGCCAGCCTTTTTTCTTTTTGGTGAATAGCATACAACAAATGTTGCATTTGACCATAATGCTAAATGCTTTATTCATCTTGCTTTTATCTTGAATTGATTCTGCACACACATATCACTTGGAAATGTATCATACTGGAAGAACACTTAGCTTTTACAATAGTGAATTTGCAACCCCCAACCCTCCCGGAAAAAAAAAAGAAGAAAGAAACCACCCCCACACACACATAAAGTGGGGAAATTCTAAGGGGTAGGTTTTCCAATCTCTTGAATTAAGAGGGATAATATACTCTTAAACTATTTTCAGGCCACAAATTTGCCAAACCTGTAGTTAATCATGTTACTCCTTCCGTCCCAATTTATATGGCCGTGTTTGACTGCGCAGGAGTTTAAGAAAGAAAAAAAGACTTTTGAAACTTGTGGTCTAAAACAAACCGTAGAAATTTTGTGTGGCTTTAAATTATCTCATCAAGGATAAAAGGGGAAGTTTAAAGTCGAATTATGACATTCTTTTTGGGACAGACTAAAAAGAAGAGTATGACGCATAAATTGGGAGAGAGGGAGTACTATATTTCCAGCCTTAGTTCAGTGAACATAAGCGGAGCATGCTAAGCACCTTTAAGCAGGTATGACCTAACCGTACAAAAATCGTAGGCAGAATCCTAAATGGTCACAAAGCAAAGCCCGAAATGCAGTAACACAAACAGTAGATACATGCCTCAGTCACTTGACTATTGAAATGGTTCTCAATCTTTGACATCAGCATGTTGTCTCGGTCATCGCAGAGCAAGTTGAATATGGCACCTGCTCAACACAAAAGGGAAGTCATATTAAGCATGTTGCATAAACTAGGTAATATTTATACATGGCTCATTTCAATTGTATTCTAATACCAAAGGAATTAGCACAAATTTGTCTCTTATCTGTTCTCTCTTAATTTATTTTCCTACAGGCAACAAATATATATCCAGTCATCCCTTTAACAATGAGCACTCAGCAAAAGGGTTTGCACATTGCATTATCCATTTGGTTCCTCATCTCCTAATGAGAAAAGAAAACTACTAGATTCTATCGTGTAGAGTGAACTCTGTATTTGGATAGGTTATTGACCCTCCCTTTCAGATCCTAAAGCTTAGTCCTTCACTTCAAGGAGACACCATAACCATTGGCTATTACAGAACTACGGAAGAGAACATTTATTTTGCAAATGTTGATCTATTGCAGTTCGCCACATATTAAGAAGGTTTTCTCTTTCATGGGAAGCCAACAATCTACAGAGAACCAATGCTGCTCCTATGTCACATGGCAAACGCCTTACTCTTGCACTAATTTATGCACTTACAGTCCACCATTTCTTTTGCTTGACACTAAGCCTCACTTCCCGTTGGTTATGGTCTTTTCACTGTGCTTGGAAGCGCGTTACTGATGGTCTTATCTCTATAATGTTAAGCACTAGAATTTTAAATGGAAATTCGAGCACTACTAAAAAAGAAAGGAAAAAAAGAAGAGTATGTTAAGGAATAAATACTTGTTTTCATGTCGCAGTGGACTTTCTTTGCGAGTACATAAAGAATGATTTTTTAATTGGAAAACTAGAGAATTTTCATACTAACAAAAGCAGTCTATAAATATTCAGAATACAAATTTGTATTCATGTTACAGTGGACGTTTTTTGCGAGTACATACAAAATGATTTTTTAATTGGACAACTTGAGAATTTTCATGCTAACAAGAGCATTCTAGAAATTTTCAGAATACATATTTTGAAGTGCCTTTTTTTTTTTTGAGAAAGTTGAAGTGCTTCTTCCCCATGTATATCTAGGTTCTTAAGGGGATTTCATTGTGAACTCCTAAAAGGATAACAACCTTTCAATTAATGCTTAAGACTAGACTCGCCTTTTCAAGACCGTACGTCTCAGTACTTGCAGGCTAAAAGTGTGTCTGTTGGTTATTATGAATTTGTCATTATTTTCAAGTAGATTTCCTTTATTTCTTCATCTTCGTTCATATCAGTATATTTTTTAATGCTCTCGAGAAATGCACCATGGACACTGTACATACTCCCTTTTCTATGACGGACACTGTACATATTCTCTTTTCTATGACGGATACTGTACATACTCTCTTTTGCTAGTATCATAACATAATATAACATATATAAATGGGATAATTTAGAGACTCCTTCGAGGTTTTGCTTCATCATACTAACCTTCCTTATAGTTTTGCAATATTAAGTTTGCCTCCCTTATTTTCATTTTCGTAACAATTGTGATTCACTGGGTTGTTTTGTTGTTGTTGCTGTTTTAAACTACTTATCATTAATACAAACTAATTACAATGTGATCAATTTACCCTTTTTAATATTAAACTTGTTTGATTAATGTTATAAATATCTTTTCTTTAATTTCTCATATAATTAGAAAAACATACTCCTAATACCCTAGGCTAGTTCTTCAGTGTTCTGAACTACTACCATCATGGCCACCGACAAATGAAGGAATCTTCATACTTCAATATTATCCAGAACATGAACATGACCAGTAGCGCAAAACTCACCCATTTCAGAAATTATGGATAGGCATATTCATTAAAGTATTACCAATGAGAGTTCCAATCAAGATTTAGCAAAAGAAAATAACCAAACTTTATCGAGACATAAAGAAGATAGAAAACCATATTTTCCAAAGTTAAAAGGGATGGGAACCAAGAGCGGAAGAATCACTCTACATAATGTTTCCTTGCAAGAGGATTACAACGTCCCCAAATCCAAAGACTCTTCTACTACATTATTATAAAAGAAAACAACCCAAATATTAACGGCTGGAGAAGCTAAGTATAGATTGCATTTTTTTTTTATTTCAAAAGAACTTGTCAATTAAGATAATTTCATTGAATTAATTAATTGGAAGAGTTTAATATTAAGAAAGGGCAATCTATCAATCGTAAATTATTTAAATTTAATGACAAATAGATTTAGAGAATTGTTACAAGAAAATCAAAATAAGGGAGGCAACGGTAATATTATAAACCACAAGGGAAGTTAGTGCGACGAAGTGAAACCTGGAGGGAGGTCTCTTAAATAACTCTATAAAAACAATATGTAAGTGATACAGAATGATAAATACGCCAAGAGAGACAAACAAGAGCAGGGAAGATGCATAAAAAAGTGGAAACATATTACCTTTGCGGCCAAAACGCCCTGCTCTACCAATCCGATGCAAGTATACCTCATGATCTGGCTCTGATGGACTCTCATGTCTTACAGGGAGATCATAATTAACCACCAAATTAACCTGCATATATTTTGTAGTAGCTTTTAGGAATTCAAAATGTTAGCCACCAAAACAGAAATCAAGAAAGCATTTACAGAAATAAAACATCATTGCTATGAATGAAGTTACACGAAGAACCTTAATTTTATATCATATATGACTGACAACTGGGAAGATTAAAATCTAAAGTTACCTGCGATTGATCAAATCCACGAGCAAGAAGATCAGTTGATATAAGAACTTGTGTCAATCCTTCTTTGAACTCTTTGATTATTTTGTCTCTATCTTCTTGCTTAAGAGCCCCTTGAATTGTTGTCACTTCATAGCCATAGTCCACCAATGATGTATGCAACATACTCGCACTGTTTCTTGTACGAACAAATATAATTGTTTGCCCCACCTTCTGTCCTAGTTCAAGAATTTTGTCTTTAATCACCATGACTTTTGAAAGTTCATCCGGACACTGCACTTTATACTGCTTCACTGAATCCAGCGAAAGTTCTTCTTTCTTCACAAACATTTGGTTATAATCTTTCACGAAAAGATCTCTAACAATTTTTGTCACAAATGCTTTGACACTTTCCCCAAACGTTGCAGAAAACAGAAGCACCTAAAAATTAAAATGATAAAAAAGAAAAGTCAAATATTTAAAAAAAAAATATTGATAAGGTAAATTTTAACATCAATTTTTTTTTCTAAAGAATAGCCCGATGATGGAAGCTTAGCGAGAAGAATGTATTATAAACAAAAACTTAGCGCAGACGCAGACGCCCTTCTCATCCCATCGCTTTCTTACCTAAGATAAACTCAGGTGTTAACCAGCTCCATGAATTGCACTTTAATTTAAGCCTCAGACTATACTCAGTTACTCACTAAATGAGGAAGGTGAAGTTAGACATTGCTAGAAGTAGTATTCTAGTTCCAATCCTAGCCCATGGCGTAAATAAGAAGGAAACATGCGGCAGCCACTATTCCTTTTTACATGTGAGATAAAGACAAAGGAATTTTGCTTCTCTTTTTTATTTTGCAGCTGCAAATGCAATGTATATTATCAGTTGTACTTCAAAGCAAGAAATAATTATTAATTGGTCAGTTTTGGAACGCGGAACCTGGCAACCTCCATGAAGGGCATAGATAACATCAGCCTGTATGCAGCTTATTATCTCCATTGAGAGAGTGGCTGACTCGTATCAAATTCATTACAATATTCGCCCCTCATTTCTGAACTACTTTTTCTTGGTGTTGACAACTCTATTCAACTATTGATATTAAACTAACAGCAGTTCCAAGTGTATAGTTCCAATAACAAGTTGAAATTTATCAGAAAAGACATAAAAGAGCACATCACCCCCCCCCCCCCCCACCAAAAGACCCAAAACAATAAGCAGAGACTAATCCTCTCTCTCTTATCTGCAATGCTAACTGAACTATCTCTTCCTTCCCACCAATGGCATACACATGTACACACACACAAAACCAGGCTTCAACTGCATATGTAAAACATACAAGTAAAACACATAATAGAAATGCTAAGATTCAAGCTTCACACTTCCAAGGTTCTGGGACTGACAGTGTTACTACATGCCCAATAAGAAAAACAATCTTTGACAGTGACATCCTGTACCAAGATTTTTTCCCAATAACATAATGAAATAAAAAGTTACATCTATAAAATACTAAAAATTTATCCACAAAAGAATGAGAAAAACTATGACTTGTGAAATGCAAAACTTACCCAGTTAATAGGTAATTAAGCCCCCACCCCCAAAAGAAAAAAACAAAAAGAATCCATCATTAACGCTCCTTGGGTACTAAACTTTACCCTTCTTAAAGTATGCAGCAAATCCCCATCCGCCTTTCGGTCTCTTGTCCTCTTCTATTTTCCCTCATCTTCTTCTTCTCTTCTATTATCCATGAAACAGCTTGGTTTAAGGGTCTATACTTGTACTCCTCAATTGCTCTAAAGTCGTTCCCCTTTTGCATGCTCTATATGCCCTATTTACGGAGGATGTAATGAAAGATGCACACTAGTGAAAACTACACCAACAACTCGACACAAATAATGCTTGCTATCTATTACTTGTGAGCAACAAATATTGACTGACTGATTATATCTTTCATGTAGTTATTGAATTTCTCGAGAGTATATTAAGTACTTGAATTTACCATGTCAAAATAATGTCAATTTAATAAGGGTGTGACTTAGCAGTCCATGAAGCTAGAACGGACCATGGGAGACATGGGTTTAAACCCTAGTAGCCTAAAAACCAAGGTGGTTTCTTCCCATCTATCTAAGCCTTTGGTAGAAAGATTTACATGGTACCTGTGTAGGTAGGAGGGAGCAGTACCTAGTGAATTAGTAGAGGTGCAAATGAGCTGTCCGGACACCACCGTGATTTAAAAGAAAATAAGTGTCAATTTGATTTGTAATTCTGACATGCTACATTCGTGTATGCTATGCAAAAGTATCTCTTTTCCTTTGAGGTATGTGTGGTCGATAAGATAATTTTTAACCTATGTATCCCTAGTATAGATAAGCCATAGACCTTACCCTACAGTTCAGTCCAGTAACTAATATTTCACTTCTACCACCACAGCACATCATTTAACCTTGCTCTCCAATTTGACACTGTAACTAAGTTCTCACTTCTAGCATAGCACAGCATTTGTTTACTGGGGAGAGCAGGTATTAACTATTAAGTCTTCCAGTTGAGTGTAATCTTCAAAATGAGTCATCCTTGTTGATGTGGCTCAAAAACCTCGGTAAAGGAATAATTAGGGCCTAGGGGTATCAATAGATATCTCTAAACCGACCGAACCGTACCGCACCGAACCGATTTTAAGGTTTCTTTTAATAAAATCGTATGTTTTTTTATAAATCTATAACCTTACCGATAATTAGGGTAGGTTTTGTATAACAACATAACCTAGTACTAATTCCACTAGTGGGGTCTGGGGAGGGTAGAGGGTACGCAGACCTTACACCTACCCCGGACGGGTAGATAATTAGGGTAGATTTTTTATTTTATGAAAATAAACCGAAAAAATACCAAACCGTACCGAAAAAATTTACATATGGAAAATATATTTATATATTAAGTTTAAAAATAATAAAGTATTAAATTTTTCCTTGGGCGTTGGAATTATTAAAACGGTTACAAGCCAACAAGTAATTAACCTCAAAAATCCTAATTCCCATACCTATTATGCTCCTCCTATTGAAATTAACTTATTTCCAGCATATTCACTAGCAAGACACAAGGTATCCTAGCGATTATGAGTAACAAACTACAATGTGTTAAATATGCTTCCTTTCGTATGATTTAGATTTATCTTTTTGAATATTTAATCTTCTATAGACTTTATTCTTGAGCCCCGGCTTGGTTAATATCTTTCCACTCGCGTGATTTATATTTTCTTTGTCTTTGCTTAGTTTCTTTTACACTGCTATAGAATGGTTGATAGATGTATACTCTGACCATCTTTCATATTTTCTTAATTCATCACCCTCTAAACAGTAAAAATGTCTAGAGTTTTGCGAAGTCCTATGAAACTTATGTTATTGCATTCTACTTCGACTAGTGGCTTTTACATGACATTAAAAAGACAACCGAAAACTAACCGAACCGTACCGATAACGAAGAGAAACCGATATGATTGGGATGGTTTCAGAAAGTTAAATTTTGGTTATACATAATAGAATAACCGAAAAATTAGTACGGTACAAATTTAATAAAATAACCGGCCGAACCGAACCATTGACACCCCTAGGAATAATATTTGGTAAAATTATACAATCAACAAGTTTAGTAGTAGTAAAAAAAAAATTAACCACTTTTTTTGTAATAGGTAATAATGCAATGTGCTACTCTAAGGCTCAACCCTGCATGTGACCTCTGAAGTTTTTCAGACTCTTATTACAAACTGAACTACAATTCAAGCAGCAGCAATAAACATCATAGGTCTCATGTTCGAGCTCAGAGAATGGAGCCTCTTTAGTAGGGAGCGCTTTAAGACCCCCCCCCCCCCGAAAGCAGGTACCGGACAGGCGGACACCATGTGGGAAACCAAAAAAAGTAGCAGCAATATACCCAAAAAAAAGAATTCATCACCACTTTAACTGGAATTTTGAAAAACACAAGGGCCAAACTTTAACCAACCTGGCAGCCAACGCTGGCTTTGACAATTGCCTTCATTATTCTTATGGAATCATCCTGAAAACCACTCTGTGCACAAAGAAGAACATCAATAAGCAATCAAATACTGAGCAGGAATTTCAGACAGTGCCTTAATTTTACTGGACTGCCTTCATCTTCTGTAGACAATACTTTTCCTTTTTCAATAAGCAGTCAATTCCAAATTCAAATTAAGTATTGGACTAGTAAACAACTCGCCTACCAACTATGTCGTAATTTACATAAACTCTGAGGTGGCTGAATTATGAATTGCCTCCTAATCATTTTACAGTTTCCATTAATAATAGGTCCGTTAATCAGTGAGAATCCTGCATTGTTGGGCAAAAGCAAAGAAGTCCGTGACATGGAGCCTTGCCTTTTATAGCACACTTGACAGGTCATGAAAGATAACCTCATCTTCACGGAAAAATCCAGCTGGCATATGAAACAAAAAAATTATCCAGGAAGTGAAAATTTTACATACTACATTCGAGATTACTTCTAGTATGTCAATTCCTTCTTCCCCCTAATAAAGAGGTAACGCATACACTCACCCAGCAAAAAAGTTTTAATTTCTAAAGATTTGTCTGCAAGGATAACAATACCCACCCCACCCCCAGCAACAAGTTCTGGTAACCTCGAAGAAATCTAGAGGATCAAATGCACCCATAAGAAGAATGTGCTTTTACACTTATCCCCAGGAAAAAATGGAAATCATTGATAAAATGTCAGAGCACAAACTGTTAACATTTAGAGCAAATTCCCCCCCAAAAATGAAGATGGAAAATTTAATATTCAAATATTTAGCTCATTAAGCTCAACATTACCATCCATCTAAGAAACCAAAAGCTATATCCAAAATGTTTACACCAACCAAAAAAAAAGAAGAGAGAGAACTCATTTTTTAAAAAAAAAGAATACATGTATAATCATTAGCAAGAACAAAAAGGGAAAAAATCAAAGGAACTATCGTAAGTGCTGATAGTCAATCAATTACCTCTGCCAACATGTGGTCCGCTTCATCAAATACAAGAATCTTCATGCAACTCATGCCCAGTTTCCTTGCCGTCACCCACTTATTTATAGTTCCAGGTGTGCCAATTACTACTTGTGCTGACACAGGTGGCCGCTTTGAAATTGGTATGTAGTTGGCTGCATCTGCTGGGATAGCTAACTCTGATGTTATACCAGTGAACTTCCCCATCTTCAACAGCACTTCCATATTCTGCAGCATTTTTCACCATTTTATACCAAACCTTCTCAAGTTTCTTTTTTGAATGATGAAGAATCTTCTTAAGTTTTTCTTTGAAATGTAACGACGTTAAAAAAGATCCTTCCTACGGTTATCTCCCCATTTGATTCTAGTTCCCCATAAAAAAATAGTTTAAACCACCACTCCAAATGGCAAACAACCAGATAAAATATGAAGATTTGGCGTCATCAATGAAACCATCTTAAAAACTATATACAAGAACACATAAAACATAATCTTACAGGCATCATGATAAAAGTTTATAAAATATAGATGCGTAGAAGCACTTTTCTTTCAAAAAAGGAAACAGATATGCAGTAAAGCAGGTATATATAAACTAAACCACATGCATAACCTGACACACATAAGGTTGCACAAAACTTTTTATTCAGCTAATGAATTGATTCATTAGAAAATAAAGTAATTGATCCTGCTACGAATTAATTCTCCAATGCTAACATTAATATTGCACCCAAAGATTTACCTAGATCAATGAAACTGGATTGAAAATCTAATGAAACTGAAAACAAAAAAAAAGGAAACTTTATTATTTCTTCTCTACCTGCCTAATCCTTAGTCACTAAGGAGTTTAAGTATCATGCACAAACGATGTAAAAAATATTTACACAAATAACTCACTTAAAAGGTAATTGCATGCAACGCTATTTAAAGATATTGATTGATTATCTATAACAAATGTTAAGTAACCTAACAGGCAACAGATTATATTAGTGTAAAAAGTTTATTACAGTCTCATGCATATAACTTAAATCCAAAAGAAAATAAAAAACAGCATTTATGTCAAACCTGAATAGCCAATTCTCTGGTTGGACAAATACAGAGAGCTTGAGGGGCACGAAGCTTCGGATCGACCCGACTCAACATTCCAAGCACAAAGCAAGTAGTTTTACCAGAGCCATTATGAGCCTGAGCAATAAGATTCTTGTAGGGCGGCGTAAGAATCATGGGTAAACTAATCTCTTGAATTTTGCTAGGTCGCTCAAACTTCATCTCTACATATAATCCCTTCAATAACTCAGGAGACAAGTTCAAATCCTCAAATCTCTTCGCTGATTTGTACAACGTGTCGCCAGATGTAACCTATATTTCATTAATTGAACTCTAATTTAGTTATTGCTAGTAAAACAAATCGACTTATGAAGCTATAATTGAGTGAGGAAAAGCGTACGGCTTCTATTCTGGAATCTTCTGGATCATCAAGAGTGGAGTTGTTGACTCTTTTGGACTCGTCAATTTGTAGAGATCCAATTTCAGTCTCGGCGCTAGCGTTTTCAGACTGCTCGGTTTGATCTATCTCGTCGGCTTCGTCTGCCCAGCTTCTAGTTTCTCTTGACTTTGCCGTCGTAGAAGCGGCGGTGCTGCTGGTGGTACTAGAACTGTCAGCGACGAACGCGGCAGTGCTACTGGCGGTACTAGAACTGTCAGCCATTGGCAGGAGAGGGAGAGTTTGCTGTGACCAACTTCGTAACTATTTACAATTTCTGTTAGAAATATGGTTGATGAAAGAAGGTGAATTGGGAATTAGGCTTGGTCGTCGAAGTCTCTGGTTTTATATTTTTGAGGGTTCCTACTTTATTTGAGTTTGTTATTTACATCTTTTACTACTAGTTTCTCGGCACGTGCACGTGTATGTCAAATCATATATTTATAAAATAATATTAAAAAAATAGTTGAGTAAACAATTACACATAAAAACAATAGGTTTTTGATAGTTTGAATATCTATTACCTTGTAAACTAAGTAAGTGTAGGATACCAAGAACTGAAAAGAGCGGAAAGTGAATAAAATAAATTACCAGATTTAGGAATCGAAAAGAATGAACCAAGAAATTTCCAGTAATTCGCACAAAAGACAAAAGAGAAGTATAGGTATGTTCCATTATGATTCTTGACTGCTACTCTCAATAGCCACGAAAAATTGATTAGCAAAACCCCGTTGTATCAAGCACGCAAGTGAAGAAAGAAATGATTGTTTGAAGTGATAAAAAGTGTAGTATTTAATTAACTTACAATTTTGACAGTTAATGAGGATTATGAAACGTTGAGAACTGTTTGTAGGCATTTGGAACGGTGGCAACTCTAAGCAACTTAGAAACAATCTTTCTTAACAACTGACCATGAAGCGTTGCCTTCTTCCTAGGCGTTAGTTTTTTATTTTATTAAATAGGATATTTAGTTTAATTAATAGCATACATTTATGTTATTTAAAAGGGTAATTAATGCGAGAGAAAAATACGCATCACAAGAAGGAAAAGGGAGGGGGGAAGGAGTAGACATAAAATAGGAGTTATAATGAAAATAGGGATGGGGGAATTTTACAAAGGGAAACCTGAGAAACATAATGCAAAAGAAGAAAAATAGAGGAATTTTAGGAGAATAGGTTAATAATATATTTTGTTTAGTAGACGAGAGAATTGATTATCATTTTAAATCGGTAACATACGACTTTCTTAACGGATAAGATAGAGAAGACATAATGACAAATAGAACCCAAAAATCTTACTGAATACATATATTCTTTTTTATTGCATTCACTTTAGCAATAGAAACATTTAGTAGTAGGATTCCAGCCACGTTCATTGTAACTTAGATTTATCATTTAATAGTTGGGAAAAAAATAATTTAACAAAAATATAATTTTATTGGAGTAGTGTTTAGTGAAGGGTAAAATGGTCTTTCAGCTTTTGAAGGACATTTTAGTAAACTAACTTCACCTAAAAGTGTTTATGCTTATAATATAGTATGATATGTATCGTTGGGTCAGGCTGGTTCGTAAAAATAGTCACTCGGTCGATTTTGGTTGCGGTCCCAGGCTGGTCATACCGGGTTGTTAAGGGGCCAGTATATTTACCGTACAATTTAATTTATAAACTTGTAATTTACTAATTTATAAGTAAATAATATAATGATCAAGATTTAAATAGTTTGTTAAAGTCTTAAACTACTTTAATACTTGAAAGTCGATAGGTGAAAGTAATATTTGGGAAAAAACTTCAAAGGCTTAAGAGTCTTAATTTCGTTAGACAATACTTTAACAAGAAAATTTCAAATCTATTCTAATTATCAACGAATTCCGCGAATTTTAGGTGGAATGGGAATTGTAATTCTTTCTACTTCTCGAGGTATAATGACAAACCGCGAGGCTCGACTAGAAGGAATAGGTGGAGAGATTTTGTGAATGCCCATTTGTGAAATAAAAAATAAAATTTCATTTCCCCCCACCCCACTCCATGTACGAATAAAGTGCGAAAGGGTGAGTAGTAATAAGTCATATAGAATCAATGTATTCATGATAAAGTAAAATTCCTCGATGACATATTTTATCACAATTAATATTTTTTGGTTAACAGAGGGATCAAATGGTATATAGTTCATTTGTTGGTAGCTTGGAGGATTAAAAGCATGACTCTTGCTTTCCAATGTGGAACTATTAACATGGTTAAAACAAACTGTTTGAAGTCTAGACGCAGCATGGTACTCTTTCTACCACTAGGTTAATATAAAGGTGGTTTCTTGCAATTTCTATTTTGATATTAAATTTTGCAAATTACAAGTCTATAGTAACTAAATTAATATTAAATATAAGAGTACATTTAGAGATTTTGCATTGTCTTTTGTAGTTCTTCCATGTCAATATGAACTACTTGGCTTACTTTTAGGGTGTTTAGTTCAAATGGGCAATCAATTGTGAATATATTTTAAATTTTCTGATTTTCCGATTTACCTACATTTTCACATCCTTAATTCCATTGCTACGATCTAATCCATTCTCTCAAATACACTAGCACCAAGACACTGCTACCGAATGAGTGACATGTGTCTCATATTTGCTGCCTTATATTTGGCTAAATGCGCTTTGTGATGAAATGATTGAAATTGGCACATTGGTTACGTCTCGAGCCATGCGAAAAAGAATGGGAAACGGCTTTGCGTTATCCTTCTATCATGCCCATGACAAAAAATCCTTTGTGCGAGGCTATGTCTTCTTTTGCAAATAAAAATAAGTTCATCATTATTTTTACTATTGTGTTGTGTAAAAAAAATAGTGTAGACCAATAGCAAAACCATCTACATCATCATCTTCATCAATTGAAACAAAAGTAGAAACAGAAGTAGAAACAAAACTATAAGGAATGTTCGGATTAATATTTATTACAACAGAAGAAGCATCATTCAGGTTTGTGTAATGATTTTATAATTGCTGCAAATGCTCATTTAGGTCTCTCATACAAGTATGAATGTACAGGATTTCAGTTGGTCCAATTTTCGTATAGGTATACAAAGCAATGATTAATTGATGGCAAATAGCGATCTTAATAGAAGAGTTTAAAACAACACCAATTAAATAAATAGGATAAAAAAATTGAATTTTTCTTGCATTTTTTCGGTGGCATCGCTATATCTTTCTTTATTATTGAATTCAGGAAGTAAAGAAATTTCAGCTATGTGCTTATCTTATTTATCACTTAATTATAAATTAGTGTGATTTAGTGCATGCAATTAGAATGTTGGAGAGACTTAGATCATAGTGGGTTGCCAAATCATTCAAAGCAAGATATATAATAAAGAGATTCGAGCCCAGGAAATGGAGAACTTCTTATTAGGGAAGGTTTGTAGTCCTTAGTAGGCTTACTCGCAGTGAATTTAAATTAGTCAGACTAATTAATTCTAGAATACTAGATTATTAAACCGAAAAAATACTAAGGACCTTGACAAATTAGGGTCACTGTTTACTGTTGCAGCATGTGACACATTTTGGTTACATGATTAGTATGACCATTATTAACATGTGTGACGTCCCGATCGGTCGTTTTGTATAATTGCGCCCCATTACCCTTTTATGCTTCACACATGTGTGTTTGTGGTTTTAAGACTTGCGCGGTTGGTTAGTTTCGCTCCGCGAAACTTTCAGGTTGATTTGGACCCTTGATTCTTGACTTAGAAGTTTAAATTAGAAAATATTGACCAAACTTTGACTTTTGTGAAAACGACCCCGGAATTGTACTTTTATGGCCCCGATAGTTTCGTATCATGATTTCGGACTTGGACGTATGTCCGTAATTAACTTTGGAAGTCCGTAGGTTGATTTATATTGATTTGCCGAAATTTGGCAACTTGAAGTTGAAAAATTTGACCGTAAGTTGACTTTTAGCTATCGAGCTCGGAATTTGATTTTGGGACTTGGAATAGGTCCGTTATAATATTGACAACTTGACTGCAAAATTTGGTGTCGTTTGGAGTTGATTTGTTAAGATTCGGATATTTAGCTGTAATTTTAGAAATTCTCGAACTTTACTTTGAAATTCATGCGTTTTAGTGTTCGATTCGTAGTTTTAGATATTCTTTTTGTATTTTGATCATGCAAGTAGGTGCGTATGATATTTTTAGACTTGTGTGGATGTTTGGTTTGGAGCTCCGAGTGCTCGTATGAGCTCCGGACATGTTTCGGAATGGTTTAGGACTGAAATTAGATTGTTGGTGCTGCTGGTGCTCAGGTATCACAATTGTGAGCACCAGCATCGCAATTGTGAAGGTGACAGTGGGGGCTCTGATGTTGTAATGGCGACTCCCCTTTCGCAATTGCGAAGACTGCCAAATTTCACCTTAGTTCGCGTTTGCGAACAATTGTTCGCTTTTACGATGCCCTCCGGTTCGCATTGCGAAGCCTTATCGCAATTGCGATGTATGCTGAGGTTGGCAGGGTTCATAAATGCGACCGCTGGTCCACAATTGCAAGGGTTCGCAAATGCGAACCTTGTGTCACAAATTCACACATTTGTCAACCCTAAACTCGGTAGGAGGCGATTTGGAAAGGGGATTTTCACCTACAAACTTTGGGTAAGTGATTCTAATCCATTTCTAATCATATTCCATCAACATATGTTAGATTTTAACATCAAAATCATGTGAATCAAAGTGAAAATTTGTGAAACTTTGTTAAGTTTTTTAAAAATAAGAAATTGAGTTTTGAGAGCGCTTTGGACTCGAATTTGGAAACTAATCACATATATGAACTCGTGGGGTCATGGGTAATCTACGATTGGATCCGAGTTTTGACCGAACGGGCCCCGACTTGACTTTTGTTGACTTTTTGAGAAACGTATAAAGATCTTAGCTTATTTATTATAATTGAATTCCCTAGCATTGTTTGATGATATTAAGTCGATTTTCGTTAGATTTGAGCTGTGTGGAGACAAATTATAAAGGAAAAGCTATTTCCAAGTGTTGAATTGGCCTAGTTGAGATAAGTGTCTAGCCTAACTTTGTGTGAGGGAACCGCCCCTTAGGATTGGTATTGATTGATTCATTTGTGTTATGTGAAATCTGTGTACGCAAGGTGACTAGTGGGCACACGGGTTGTACGTGGTATTTTACCGATTTAGGCTATAGTACTCCTTCCATGTCTTAATTTAATCGTCATATCATGTTCAAAATTCTCATAGTCAATCTATAATAACTTGTGTTAGTCTATCCTTACATGCCTTAAAACGATTTCGTTATCACTTGTTCTACATCTTAATGGATAAATTGTTCTCATGCTTTGGTTTGAAGTTGTTG